AAAGGGGCCCTGAGGGTCCCATTGGCTTAGCACTGCCAGGTGCCAGGCCCTGGAGGGGCCCCGGGGACTCGTGGGGCACTGGCTGGGCGGGGGGAAAGGGGGTGCCCGGGGAGGGGGTCAGCTTGTGGCCCTCACCCCCCTCCGGCAGGACCCCTGCGGGATGCTCTGGTGCTCCGTGCTCCGCGCCTGTCAGACCAAGAAGGACCCAGTGGTGGACGGCACCACGTGCGGGGATCAAAAGGTAGGGGCACCCCGGCCCAGCTGTGCAGGCCAGACCGCCTGCTGGGTCGGTGCTGGTGGTGGGGGGGTGTCACTGGTCCCCAGATGGCGCCTGCTCTTAGCAGACCCCCGGACCCCCCCAGCCCCGCCCAGCCCAGCCCCAGTCTGTACAGTGGAGACACGTAGGGGCTCAGTTCAGGAACTCCCAGGCGTTTCAGCTCAGAGTCTGTTGCCTTGTCTGCTCTCGGCTCCCCTATGGGGCCTGGGGGGGACTCCCCCACTCCTTGGATAACCCCCACTTTTTCAATTTTAAATTATTCTTTTTTTAAAATATATTTTATTGATTTTTTACAGAGAGGAAGGGAGAGGGATAGAGAGTTAGAAACATCGATGAGAGAGAAACATCGATCAGCCGCCTCCTGCACACCCCCCACTGGGGATGTGCCTGCCACCCGGGCCTGTGCCCTGACCGGGAATCGAACCCGTGACCTCCTGGTTCCTAGGTCCACGCTCACCACTGAGCCACACGGGCCGGGCTGGACACTTCTCCTTCGTCCGTTTCCAGGCCTCCCACCCCCACCTGTTTCCCACGACGGGGAGCGTGAGGGACAGTCTTGGGGTGGTGGCCTCACCTCCCGGTCTCCCCGCAGTGGTGCCTGGGCGGGGAGTGCGTGCCGTTGGACGTGCAGCCCGAGGTGGTGGACGGCGGCTGGTCGGGCTGGAGCGCCTGGTCCACCTGCTCGCGGAGCTGCGGAGCGGGCGTGCAGGGCTCGGAGAGGCAGTGCACAGAGCCTCAGTGAGTGTGGGGTCCCAGGCCTGGGGCTGGGGGGATGGAGGGGACCCGGCTCTGTCCCAGTCCCCGGCTGGCAGAAGTGCCCCCACAAATAGGGCTCAAACCCAGAATTTCCAGCCAATTTCCTCGGGTCGCTGGTGGACATTTCCTCCCCACTGCTTACCCATTGCACGGAGGGGCACACTGAGGCCGGAGACTGGAAGGGCGCATCAGCCGGCCGGAGGGAGGCAGGAGCGGACAGCAGTCAGGCCCTTAGACCCTGGCCTTAGATGGGTCAGGACTCAAGTCCTGCTCACCCCTCCTCTGGGCCTCCATTTCCAGAGAAGCTGCATGGTGGGGTCCCAGCAGTGCCCGCCCGTGGATTGGGGGGGGGGGGGCAGGGGCACATAAGTGGGAGCTGCTCGGTGGCATCAGAGTGGGTCTGAGGTGATGGGCTGGGAGGGAGGACACGCTATGACCCGGGGTACGGGGTGTGTGTGGAGTTCAGAGCCAGCCCCACCCAAGGCCCGGTGTGTGGCCAGGACTCTGGCCCGTACCCCTGCCTCACCCCAGCCCCCTGTCGGGGTTAGCGGCCGGCTTGTCCCAGCGTCTCAACAGCCACAACCCATTTTAAACTTTTTAAAAATATATATATACATTTTTATTGATTTCAGAGAGGAGGGGAGAGGGAGGAACCCGGGACCCTTTGGTCCGCAGGCCGACGCTTAACCACTGAGCCAAACCCGCCAGGGCCCCGACCCCATCTTATAGATGAGGAAGCCGGCCCAGAGAGGGCAGGACACTTGACCGGGGTCACACAGCAGAGGTGGGCGGCAGGTACCTTGGGGGTGCATTGGGGGGTGCGCTGGGCACGCCCTGTGCCTGCGCCGAGCCCCCTGTCGGCTCCCCCATAGGCCCAAGAACAGGGGCAGGTACTGCGTGGGCGAGCGGAAGCG